GCTTGGCAGCTTCCGGAAAGAAAATAATCCAACCTGGAAGTCACTCAAGCTATTCTCCCAGGGGCGGGGGGGGGGGGGGGGGGTTGGTTGGTAATCTGGCCCCGAAACAAGCCAATTTAGGGGGATCATCTGAAAGCTGGCGAGCTGCGCTGTCCCCAAATGACACGATCCACAGGGGGTGGAATGTTCTGGCATTACCCTAAAAAGATCAATGAATTCTGCGCCTCCTTTTAGCCGGTGATGAGGAAAGAAGCATCAAGGAAAACTCTTGCCTCTTACCGGAGTGCTTGGTACAAACCACCAGCAGAAAAATGGCCTCTGAAACCGCCATTCCTTAGTTTATTTAACGTCCTGCTTTGAAGGTGTTTGTTGAACTGAGGGGCAAGGATGGGAGCAGAAACGTTTAGGCAGCCCTTGAGTTATGGCTAAGCAAGGCAAGTTTTACAACCATATTTTTTTGCCACTAGCCATCAGCGAATCACTGCCATTGTTATGTGAATCATGCAGTCATTAAGTGAATCTGGCTTAGCCCATGAACTTTGCTGGGAAGATTGCAAATCACATGACTCCAGGACACGGCAACTGTCATAAGTACATGCCACTTGCCAAGTGCCCAAATTTTGATCACATGACCATGGGATTGCTGTAGTTGTAAGTGTGAAAACTCGTTGTAAGTCACTATTTTTTTTTTTGTTCTGTTGTAGCTTTGAACCATCGCTAAACCAATGGTTGTAAGTCAAGGATTACCTTTATGTATAAATGGGAATTTGCGTGAATGAGATGCTGGGTTCAATGTGTGAATGTAATCCTTGTAGTTTCTGTGTCTACCGTCCCAAACCAACCTTCAGGAGCTCTAACGATCAGTTCACTGCCATTTTAATTCCAGGCTGGTTTGTCTCTGGATGAAATGCTATATTTCATAACCAACTGTCTTTTTTTTTCTCTTCTTCTTCCTCCTCCTTTTCATAAATGCAGTAGCAAATTGCTTCAAGAATTGAGACAGGAAGGGGCTTGCTGTCTTGGCCTTCTTTGCGCTTCTTTGAGCTACGAAGCTGAGAAGATCTTTAAATGGATTTTTAGCAAATTTAGTTCCTCCACTAAAGATGAAGTTAAACTGCTTTATTTGTGTGCAAGTTACAAGGCGTTGGAGACTGTGGGAGAGAAGAAAGCCTTTTCATCCGTAATGCAAGTAAGAACCAAATCGGTGACTGTTTTGCTTTTCAGATAAAGATCACAAGCCCCAGCTCGTGTCTAAGTAAAAGATCACAAACTCCAGCTTGTGTCTGTTTGACTAGTGACATGCAAATGAATGAGAAATTATCAGTCAGTGGGTATCTATCTATCTATCTATCTATCTATCTATCTATCTATCTATCTATCTATCTATCTATCTATCTATCTATCTATC